GATATTTACAGATTCTGAATGGTATCTCAGAAAAAAAGAAAAAGGTATTTTTCATGCCAAATGAGTCAGATACTGGCCACTCTGCAGCCTTTTTCTTCTTTACTTTTAGGAAAATCTGGACGGCTTCTAACTGCTTCTGCATGTTGTACCAGTTAATGAACTACTTTGGTTTTTTTAACACTTTCTGATCACATCATCCACTTTTTGATTGTTTTTGAAGAGCCTGTGATTTGTGATTTTCTTTATGGGAACAGATTCTTATCTAATTTCTCTGCTTTGTAATGTACAAAATACTTAAAAATATAGTATTAAYTCCTTGACATTTTGTAGTGTGTTTGGAGTTTGCATTAACTGCTGAAAAGAAAGTGAAGACCTTTTGCTAGCATGTTATTACAGGATGAAGTCATCTATTTCTGCTCAAGTTCAGTGAAATGCTTAATTTGTACTTTGAACCTATGCTTAAAGACTTTGGTAATTTTGGATCTGGCTCACAAGTACAGGATTTTTTCTCTTAATGTGTTTGAGGCACATTTTCAAAGAAAAATTTGTCATAAATCTCAAAGTGCTTTTTAGTGGAAGCCTATAGCAATATTTTCATTGTGTGGTTGCTTTGCCTCAATTTCCGATGTRCATATTTAATTTCTCTCCAGTATGGACTAGAATAAAAGTGGCATTGTAAGGAAAGGCAACAAAAAGAAACTGAAGGAAAAAACATTAGAATTGAGACATGTGATGTGTCTTCCTAACGTAGATTAAGTAGTAGGAACACAGTAGATCCCTCTCCGGGAGGAAAACAAATTTAGAATAATGAAAGTCCAAAAATTCATATGAGGTTATATGGGAGAGCAGTGGCCCTMTGCATTTGGAAGTGCTGGGCCCACATATAGATATCAATTTTATTTTTTTTTCTGGGAAGCTGAATGAAAATTTTGCTTAGAGGTTCACAGTGAAAAAGAAGGGGTGGAAATGCTGGCTTTTCAGTATGAAATAGCAAATTGTTAGTTTTGATGAACAGAAGTTGACTCACATTTTCAGTGCCATCTTCAATTTGAATTATTCTACTGCAAAACCAAGCCKAAAAGCAATTGAATGTGAGATGAGCTTGGAAAGATTGGACTTTATACATAGGTGCATAACCTGAAGGTTATAAGAAGATTATTTTGTTTGTGTTTTCTCATCATAAAAGAAAAAAGAAGGAAATACCRTACACATTGAAATTGGAAATCATACGGAATATAATTTTTAAAGATAACAMCTAGGTCATGGAAGTCTCCATATATAATAAAGTCTCTGCACTACAGAGACAATGAGTTCTGTTTTTTTTTTATAGCAAGTAGGTTTTTCTACATGTAATAAAACTATCTCCCAGTCTGATATTGTCCTGAGTTTATCTGGGATAGAGTTAATTTCTTGTCAGTAGCTGGGACAGTGCTGTGTTTTGGATTCAGTACGAGAATAATGTTGATAACATAGTGATGTTTTGGTTGTTGCTAAGTACTGTTTATCCTAAGCCAAGGACATTTTTTGTGTCTCATGCTCTGCCAGTGAGGAGGGGCACAAGAAAGCTGGGAGGCAGCACAGCTGAGGCCCAAAGTGGCCAAAAGGACATTCCATGCTGTTGGAATGTCATGCCCAGCATAAACTGGGGGAGTTACCTGTATGGGGGTGCTGGTTGGGGTTTGGAAACAGGGTCTGGCATCGGTGGTGAGCAATTGCATGTGCATCACTTGCCGTGTGGGTTTTAATTTTTTTCTTTTATCACCATTATTACTATTTTCTCTTACTATTATTACTTATTATTTTCCTTTTGTTTCAATTATTAAACTGTTCTTATCTCAACATAAAAGTTTTGCTTTTGATTCTCCTCCCCAATCCACTGGAGTGGGGGGATCAKCAAGAAGCTGCGTGGTGCTTAGTTGCCAGCTGGGCTTAAACCACAACAGGTATGTATAGAAATAGGGATAGGGAGAAAATCCACAGAAGATGTGTAAAAGATTGGGATTGTTTATATGGTAGCAAATGAAAGGGTTTATAATGAAATATATACAGAATTAGTGCTAGTTGAGCATCTGTTTATCATTTGTTTCAATAAGAGAGGCAGGAATAAGTCAGTAAAAATACATATTGAATATTTTGTGCAACTTTACACAAAGACACTTTACACTGAAGATGATAGCTTTACAGAGAAATCCAGAAAAAATTATATGTGTTCGTATCATAAGAAATTATTAAATAAATGTTTTTAATTCAAAGATAAACATCATGCTCCAAGCAAAAATTAGTCTCTTATTGTTAAGGCTTAGGAAAAAAAAAAACTTCGTTGATAGGTACATTATATTTTTTTTGTTTTGAAGGTTGTTTGAATTAGTTTAATTTTCTTAGTATATCATAGTGTCTGTTTTTATAGAGAAAATTCTCAACCAACACAGACCAGCAATTTGGTTGAGTTTKGTCATAGTCATTTTTCTATTAGAGCTGATCTGATTTTCTGCTGGTACTGTGTGTAACTCAATTCAAAGCTCAAATGTTTTTAAAAGTAGGGCACGTGCTCGAGCCAGGTAATTTACCTGAATTTTGTAGTATTATCCATGTTGCTTGGAGTCAGTGTGTGTGTCCAGRTTGAATGGCCAGTTCTCCAGGATGGACAACAAGACCAGTCTCAGACAATCAGTGAAACCTTAGGCCAAATACAGAGATGGAGTTCCCAGTACCAATAACGAGAGGAGGCTCATGTGTGGAGCAGCAAAGTCCTGGAGTGATCAGTTCTGCAAACCTCATCCTCTGTAAYTGCACAATGCACTTGAGGCTGCTCACCTGTGCTKTCCTTTTGGGAGCCTTTCTGGGATRTATTTGGCCATTTGTGTGATTGTCCCAGATTGCTTTCAGGGCCTCTGAAATCTTGCAGCATTGGGTGCCCCTGCTCGACTGGGGCTCTTTTACCCTTTGACTTCGAAAGCTGCTCACACTTCACTGTGCAGARCAATGAGATTTAAAACCATGAATATCTGTTTGCGTATACATATWTGATGGTTTCTTATCTCCTTGCTATTAATATCCAGCTATGAYATTATTGGTAWGGGTTAGAATTTAATTCTTTTTGCMTTAYAGTGAGTATTTTTTGGTGAGATAATACAATATGCAGACGTAATGAGTCAGGAATTGGCACACAGTCTTCTGAGTCAGGATATTAGGGGGCATTGTGTACCAGAGGTACTTTCTTTTGGCTTAACTGCAGAACTGACCATCTGTGGTCATAAAAGATCCTGGGAATATTTTTGTAATACCCTAGTTTAGTGACCAAATTTCTTTATGAGTAATGGCATTTGAGTGACCCTTTCCAAATTACTGCCATTACTTCTTTTGTAAAATATGCTTTGTCATGTTGTCATATTGTCATATTTATATATGTAATTTTATGCATTTTAATTTGTTATTAATCATATAAAAATTCCCAACAAAAAAATTGTTGCAGTTACAAATCTAGGGAACACTGAAATCCCTTGTGGATAWTGTGTTAAGTATGCCTGTGTGCATAGGCAGTTCAGACACTGCCTTGAGATTATTAAAGGTTATTGTATGCAAACAGCACGACTTCTGTCCCCTGTTATATCTTGGGTATAAAAGTCACTTACCACTCTGTTCTTCCCAATTGAAAAGACTGAAAGCATTCTAAAAAATGAGAATTTAAGTGATCCGCTGGGATATCACCAATGTTTTAAAGCATGCTGAATACACATTAAAATAAAGGGCCTGTTGTGCCCTCAGGAAAGAAATAACTACTCATTTCTGTTCAAATTCAAGACAAGTATTAAGGTGTTTGACTAGTTGACTGAAATGTAATTCTATGTGATTTCATTGTAGTTAAGAAACTTTTGTTAATTCCTATATTAATTTCCTTTGAAAACTCTGGAYATTTGCAATTCACATACAGCTGATTAATACTTCTTTTTATTCTATTTCATCTTAAAACAATATGAACATCTGATTAATTTTGTAACTCTACTATGATATGGGGATTATACATTGATGAAACTTAATAGAGTGTATCTTCCTTGAAATAAGACAGAGGAAAATGCTTAATAACCATCTCAAAARTATTTTTTGTAGGTTATCCTTAAAATGGTAAATAACAAGCTGGAACAGGATTTGATACAAATTTCCATTASTGGTGTTTTTTCATCCCTTCAGCAATGCCAGCCTTATCACCTCTGTAAATCAAAACCTTTTGAATTTATGTGACAGAAACTTGATGTGACATTGTGAGATATCACAGAGCTGTCCCATCTGCTAACTGTGTAGACTGCTCTTAAGAGGCAGGGTTTTTTTAAAGATGGGTGAATGTGGCAGAAGCTTAAAATGAAAAGGCTTTGCTCTCCTATTGCAGGCAACAAAAAAGAAGTAATTATTTCTTTGTAACTTGTGGCAGTGCCCAGTGCCTATAATCAGAATAGTATTTTGGTTAAAAAACCCCCAAAACTCCCAATCCCCCTCCCCAGCTATTTGAAGTATAATATGACTGCAGGGCTTTATGTGGTAGATGGAAAACCAGACAACTGATTTTGAGTCCCAGTAGCTTATTCTTCAGCCTGGGGAGAGCTGGATCTTTCCCAGAGGGAGTGAACAGGGGGCTGTAAGAGGAAAATCCTCACTTGTAGCTTGGTCAGCAGTGGAAGGGATGCAGCCAGGTTTGGTTGCATTCATACAGTGGTCTGGATGTGAAATGGAAAAGTCAGGGACGTTGTAGTGGGTACTGGCTGCCAGTGAGGAAAAGAGACAGGCCCCCTAAGAGCTGGATGGGACAGCAAGCTGGAAGAATGAGGACTTAAAAAAAAGACATTTTTAGGGTTATTCCCAACCACCACAGAAACCTATGGATAGGTATCTGGTGAAAAAACTGCTCTCACTGTTTTGGAAAAATACTGGGCAAATGGAGGAAAAAGGGAAAATGTGACACAGTAACAATACTATGTTGTTGATAACAGTGTCTCATTATCCTGTAGGTCTGAAATTTGAGGAAATGCAAGAAAAGTTTGGGGAGGAATTCTTCAATATCTGCTTTGACGAGAATGAAAGAGTTCTTCGAGCTGTMGGTGGGACCCTTCAAGACTTCTTCAATGGCTTTGATGCTTTGCTGGAGCATATTAGGACTTCATTTGGAAGACAGGCCACCCTGGAATCTCCTTCTTTCCTATGCAAAGAACTCCCTGAAGGCAATCTCATGCTTCATTATTTTCACCCACATCAGATTGTGGGATTTGCAATGACAGGAATGATAAAAGCAGCAGCAAAGAAGATTTACTGCTTGGATGTAGAAGTAGAGCAGGTCACGAATGATAAGTTGTGTTCAGAGGGGACAAACCCAGGTAACTGCAGTTGTTTGACTTTCCTTATCAAAGAACATGAAAATGCAAATACCACTAAAGCACTTCCACCGGGAACTTCCCAGTCCCCTTTAGACCTGAGGATTAGCATCAGCACCTTCTGCAGAGCTTTCCCCTTTCACCTGATGTTTGATCCAAACATGCTGATTCTCCAGCTTGGAGAAGGTCTTAGGAAGCAGCTCAGATGTGATACTCATAAAACCCTGAAATTCCAAGACTGCTTTGACATAGTCTCTCCTAAAATCAGTGCCACATTTGAACGAGTTCTTCTGAGATTGTCTACACCCTTTGTCATTCGGACCAAACTTGAGGATTCTGACTCTGAAAATAAAGATAAGGTAAGAATGTGAATTTGGAAGGGGATTTGCTTATATGTGTGTTTGTGGGAGAGGAGTTTTGCTGGGAGAAAAACAGCTCAAGTCCTGTGTACTCTGGAAAGCTCACACCTTGCAAACAGGGGCTAAGTGATATTCCCCAACCAAGTGAATGATTTTCCTAGATTATTTGTAAGCTTTGCCTGTGAAGTTGTGGCAAATCTTGACATTTCCATTCAGAAAATTCTGCACTGTGGGGCTGAACGGTACAGTTTCAATAATAGGGTGAGGAATTTTACACAATGCCCATATCTAATCCTTATTTTTACTCCAGCTAGATGATGATAATAGTTTTTAAGCCATTTACTAGGGACAAGCTGTAAGTATTTTTTTCTGAAAGATTCTCACTGCAGGCTTCACATTGTCACGTTATTATATCTAATTTTTCTGTTTTGTAATGCTGCTTTCCTGTGTGATTCTTCCTACCTCTCACCCTGCACTCAAGGAAGCCAGAGCTTTAAGTGGTACCAAGTATCATTTAATGCCAGTTTTATTGTGTTCCAGTCATTGAAATAGGCACTTGTACTCCTACATGGCCTCTTTCCTCAATGTTTTGGGAGAGAGCTGACTTAACTAGTGAGCCCTGTGTTGAGTTCAGTGCATTCCAGATGAGTAAGCTGAGAACATGTCTTTAGCGTGGACTTCTGCAGTGGTTGAATGGAGTTTGCCYCAATGTTGGTCCTTGCATTATCGGAAAGCTTTTTGGGGTGAAGTTGGGTTCCAGGTTTTATGCACCGAAGTACTTGTACTTAATGCTAACATTAAAACTTGCTTAGGTCTTGAAAGCTTGTGTCTGGGTGCCTTGGAAACACTGCTGTCCTAGTGGAACTGGATGATCTTTAAGGYCCTTTCCAGCCCAAACCATTCTATGGTTCTGTGTGATGATTCAAARTTCTTACAGCAGCAATGTTTCCAGCTCCTCTTTGTCACTGTAATTTGGCAACAATAAATGTATTTCTGGTGCATTTTCCTCTTGAAACAACATGCTCCCACAAGAGAACCAAACTAGACCTTTTCATTTTGTATTAGTTGACGTAATTCAAACTTCTTAAAATCTAAAGGGAGTTTATTTTTCAGAATCTGTCCTCAGTGTCATCCTAGCCTTGAATTACACAAGGGAAACATGGTGTGAAAGGTTTGAGGATGTTGGTTCTGAGCTACCTTGTGACACACTTGTTTCTCCTTTGAAAGAGTCTGGTTTCATGATCCTTCCTCAAGCAGAAYGTGCCTATCCCTCTCAGGAACCTTCCTTCTTCCTGGACAGAGCCACAGCCCTTTGACCATCTTCTCCTCTTCATGAATCTGCTGTAAATCACTCTGAAGAGGAAGAAAGTTAGGTGGGGGAGGGAGTCTTTCAAAGCCTGTTTCCCTTTTTAACTAAGTTAAATGCACGAAATATTGTCTTACTTGGACAGGTTTCATGTGCTTGTGAGTAGCTCTTAGGACAAGTGGCAGGAGTGGGGCTTGCTGGRGGTAGGATTCTAAATTAGTCAGTGCTAACACCATAGAAGCAGTTAGAAAGGATTGGCAGTAAAGGAAATAATTTTCCTGCCAGCAGTTAGGAGAAAAATTATGTCTTGAAGAGTAAAGTGTAAATGAGAGTCAAAAGGGTGCTGGTAAGGTGCAGGGGAGCTGTTGTGCTGCAGGCACAGTAATTAATTTCAGAAAATCAGTTTTCCTGAAGAGGTATTTCCTTCTGTCTCACCCATTTGACAAGAACTTTCAAAAATGTTTTGCTCATGAATAGTTAAAAAAAAGCCCATTATGTGATGCATTTTGCTAGATATTGCCTTATTAAAAAAAAAAAAAAAAGTGTCACAGATTCATAGCCTGTGGTTGACTTGCTTACATAGATTTTGAGAGGAGGGACATAGCAATACAGTTTAGGTCATGCTCAAGTCCTTTATGGATAAAAAAAGTAGGCTGAACCTTGGGAACTGCATGCTGAATTATTTTCCCATAGCTCATGTCACTCATTTAGTTCATTTTGGAATTCTTTTCAATTCGCCAGCACTTGTTTGGAAGTTGAATATTAAGCAGGTAGATCAGAGGCAGTGAGCATGACCCTGCTTAGAAGGTGATAGTAACTGGTTTAGACATTTTCCCGTTTCTCTGCCACACACCTCTATTCAGTTCATATTGGAATTGCATCCCACTTAGAGCTATTTGTCTTTTTTTWAAAAAAAATAGCCAGTCTGACTCTGCAATAACCAACACTTTTCAGGCTTGGTTACCTCAAATGGCAGTTGTTGGCATGTGACCCAGACAACTCTGCTGCAGTGTTAAAGCTTGTGTTCAGATGTCTTCCTTCATAAAAAAAAAATCCCAAACATTCAAAGGCTTTGGAATGAGCAAAGGACCTTCCAATCTCTCTTCAAAAGACTTATTTTCATTTCAATACATATATTCTTTTTTCGGACTTGTAGTGAGAAAGACAAAATAAGAAAATGGTTTTAATTTAGTCATGACACCAGCTCTGTGCTCATATAAAAGTGAGTCACAAATCATGATCTTTCCCTAAATAAACACCTACAAACAAAATTAAAAAAAAAAAMAAMCAAAAAGACTCCTGTCCTGACTTTCAGGGTGTTTAGTTCTTGTCCAGTTTATTCAAAGGCTCATTTGTGTGTTTCAAATTACTGGTATTTGGATCACTGGAATGAGTAACACCACCTTACATTTCTGATGTRAGGCCTGTGAGGTATGGGTGATAGGAAGCAGTTGCTGCAGAGCTGAAAATATACACCTCTGCAGAAGCACAGCCTCATGCATTAATATCTCAGCAAGGTTTTGTGTGTTTGGTRTGTCACCAGCTGTTACTTGGAGCTCCAAGCATTTACAGGATCCCATTGTTGCAGGGACCAAAAAAACCCAAACTTCCCACCCGAAGAATGTGGACATCTAACTTTAAATGTGATTTCAAACACTGTCTGTTTCCAGTTTTCCCATGCAGCTAAATGCTTGTTAGTTTTTTTTTTTTTTTCTTGTAGTCTGGTACACCCAGATGCTGAAGGGAACATTAGAGTCCTGTTGCTCTACTCCTTAGAAAATCATTCTGGTTTTCTTCACATTTCACTCTTCATTTTTATTTAGGTTTTTTTTTTTTTTTTTTTTTTTTTGTTTTTGGTTTTTTTTTTCATTTTTATGCTTATTAACCAGAGGGCTTCACAAGCATTTGGTCAGATTTTCTAAACTGTGCATATTACCCCTGAATAACAATAACAAGGTCACAATGTTTGCTGTTTAATGTCTCTAGGAAAACTTATTCTATATGTTTCTTTGGGAACAATTATTTATTGCAACACTCAAAAATACATTCATTGTGACAATTAACCATTTGRGGTTGACAGCTTATAGCTTTAATACAACTGTACTTCACAGAAGTTCAGGGAGTGTTAGTGGAGTCACATGTGGAATAAGAAATTAAGTTAAGAGGGCTGAGCCTGAGCCTGTGGGATGGGGTGTTCTGAAATCCATGTCAAGCACTGAGGTGGAGCTGCTGGCACGTGAAGGAGCTGGTAACCCAGTGGTGAGCTGTGCCTGTAGTGCAGCTTGKTGTCCCCCCAGCATTTCTTGTCCAGATAGGGGCTGGAAGCTGCCCGTAGGTGCATCCTGAGCCGTCATTTTCTGATGGCGTTAATGCACGGGGGCCATCTGTGCCACAATATAAATACTTGTTTCCTTGACAGTGCAGCGAGGTGGCTGGAGCTGCTGCAATTTTTAGCTGAATGGGAACACAAGGAGTGACTCTCCTGCTTTTCCTCTTCTGGCTCACGTTCTCCTCACGTGCCACTCATGAGCCATCAGTGCCGGGCAGATACAGAGGACATGGGGTTGTCCCAGCAGGGACCCACTGTCCTGAGGCCTCGGTCCAGAGCCAKTCCCTTTGGTGCATGGATTGGCACRATGAGCCCTGCCAGCACTTTCGGTGCCCACCAGCTTGTGGGCCCACCTTTCTGAAACTGTGATGTGGCATGCAGTTGGCAAGAAAGTTGAAAGTGAATCATGAGAGAAATTACATTCCCTGCCATGTACTGTGCAGCTGCATTTTCCTTSTATTGCTGCTCTTCTGCTCAGACTAACAGCCCTTTTCCACCCTTGAAATAAATCAGTTTTTATAAGGATACTCACTGRCCTTTGACTTAGGCTCTGRGCGCTTTAGAACTGGCACCTAAAACTGCATTACTGGAGGTGTCCAAGCTTTTTTTTTTCTGATGTATTTGTTCTGAATACGCCATTTTATTAAACTCATAACTTCCCAATTAACAGTGCAAGAAAATGTGTTGTGGCAAAACAGTTACTTTCAATTATATATGCAAGTTACATTTTTTATTCAGTAATTTTAGATATAAAGTACTTTTTATTAAGAAAAAAGTTTTCATTACAAATTATRATACAGCATTTAAAATAAGAACCACTGGGTTTGACAAAAATGAGCCTCTGAAATTTTTATATTGCAAGAAATTCCAAATGCCACATATAATTCAGATTTTCAAGAAACACCAACTCTGTAATGATAAAATGTCCAGCAGAATGGTAGTGAAGGCTTTTTGTAGCTCCACTGATGCTGCAGGCTGTCTGTGCCARCACCCTGCCTGTTGTCAGTGGGGAGCAGAGGTTTGTGGCAGATGAGCTAGACTGCAGCAGGAGGAATTTGTCCCAGTGCACTGATTTAGAGAGATGCAAAATAAATAAGAACCAACCAGAACCAAGATTAAAAACCCCCAACTCTATATCTGGAACGTTAGATTAAAAAAACTCTGAGKAATAAACAACAGTTCATTTCAAAATTTAGGCTGATTCCATGGAAGCCAGTGGGAATTTTCCATGTTCATTTACATTTTTTTTGTTAAACTAAGTAGTTGTTCATCTAGTCCTTCTTCTGTGGCATGAGGAAGTGCCATCTCCAAGTCAAATACTTCCTTTTGGTCAGTCAGCCGAGCATTTGCCACGGGTGATGGGGC